TATGTAATACTTTCAACAATAAAGATTTAAAAAATAAAATAGATAACATAAATGTGCAAAAGGAAAAAATAAAGTAGTCCTTATGAAAAAGGTGAGAGTTTAGCATAAACTTGAAAGAGAGAAGGACATTTAGTGGAATTACAGTGTTCTGGGAAGAGGAGCCACTAGAGCAAAGACCCCCACACAGGAGCAAGTCTGGCATGTTTGGGGGACATAGCCTAGAGCAGACAAAGGAGAATATTAGGGGATGAGATCAGATGGGTAATGGGCACAGATAATGAAGGACATTATGGGGCATTTTACTCTGAATAAAATGGGGAGCCATTGCAGGGTTTTGAATAAAAGGTAATGTTGTGTATCTTATGTTTTAAGTGGATTCTTCTACCTGTATGTTGAGAATACATCATAGTGGACAAGGCTAGAAATAGGGAGATCTTTTCAGATGTTATTGCCAATATTCAGACCATGGGTGATAGTGTCTCAGACTTGCATGGCAGAAATAAAGTGGTGAGACTCAGGATTTATTTTAAAGGTAGACCTACTATTATCTTTTGACAAATGTGATATAGAATATGAGAGAATGATGGGGGTCAATAATGACTTCAAGGATTTTGTTCTTTGAAACTAAGAATATGAAGTGTGGATTGGGAAGGCAATAGACTACACAAGTCAGGAGGTGATTGGGAGTTCAGTGTTTGATGTGTGGGATTTGGGATATTTATTAGACTTCCACATTGAGATGCTGAGTTTAGAAATCAGACTAAATTTAGGGAGAGAGATCTGGGTAGGAGATACCATTTGGGGAGCCATTGTAATATTGATGGTATGGAAAGCCATGAGATGTAATTAAGACACAAGAGAAAACGCTCAAAGACTAAGCCTTGGGGAACTCTTATAAAGGATAGAGATAAAAGATAAAGTAGCAGAAAGAAATAAGAAAATGAGCGAAATCATGAATAAAGCCAAGAGAATGTAATGTCCTAGAAACCAAGTGAAGAAAGTATATTGACTTTTCTCTTTAGTTTGTAAATTTTATGACAATGGTCATCATTTGAAGAACAAGCACACTGATCTCACCTGATAGGACAATGCTTGTCCTTTCCTCTTGACCAGTTACGGGGTTTCGAAGGCAGCAAGTGACATTCCTATGGGAGCTCTGTTTAAGGAGAAGAGTCATCTTCATGTGGAACAATTTCTCTGTGTCCTGTGAATGGGATATGGATGTAGGCGGAATGATCTCTCCTCTGCTGTCTCTCCATTCCATTTGAGGCTGTGGGAACCAACCTCCTGTATTACACTCCACCAAAAGGCCTTTGGTATTAGGAGGATGCACAAGAATCTGTATTCCTAAGCTGGTAGCTGGTTGGAAAGAAAGGGACAAAACAGGATTTTTAGGTGAAGAAAAGGAGAAAAACAGAAAGGAAAGCCTGCCCCCCACCCACCCACTCTAATCCCTGTTCCATTAGCTATACTGACAGCCAAGCACTGTGGGTCTCTGATTGTCACAAAAAGGATAAACCAGGCCGAAGGGTTATGGTTTACAAATTAACAACTCAGGGGAGAAAACACATGTTTGTTCCATTTATTAATTCAAAAATATTATTTTTGTTATTTACTAAATCTAGGAGACTTAGCAATAAATATGGATATAATAATTAACTAAGCAGTCAAGATCTCAGTCCTCTTGAATTTATAGCTTAATGTTTTTTTCTTGTATCTTCATCATAGGTCCTGTTTAGCTGCCATCAGTTACAAGTAAACAAATAATATAAATGTATTTAAAACTTTAATGACATTTTACATGTACTGGTATGTCTTTGCATGTAATGAGTATTTGCATAAAATGGGTAATAAATTACTATTATAGAAATAAAGTAGTTCATATCAGTTTAGAGAAAATAACCAACTTTTTTAAAAAAAATTCAGTTTATTGCCTGGGACATCAGGCTTGCCTAAATGTGCAGACAAAGGAAGAATAATAGTGATTTAAAGAATTACTCTAGAGAAGCTCTGTTCAATAAGCTTCTGCAATGATGGGAATATTTGATATCAGTGCTTCCTGATACAGTAGCTATTTGCTACATGAGATTTGGACAGTGAGAATGAGAATTGATTTTTAATTTTACTTAACTTAAATATAACTTTAAATAGTCACATGCAGCTAATGGTTGTCATTTGGATAGCTCAACTCTAAGCAATAGTACTAAGTGTCGTAATCTCTCTATATAAAACCCTACTATGCAAATAGACCAAAGAGCTGAAAAACCAAACAACTGAACAACTGGTTGCTATGACATGCGCTGACCACCAGAGGGTGTGTACGAAACATGGCGGGCATTGGCAACAGGTGGCAGAACACTGAACATGGAGGGCATTGGCCACAGCGGATTGTGGAGCAGGTGAGTGGGGGCGCTAGATCAAGGCGGGGCTCCAGTTGCTGTCATCAGGGCAAGCCTCTGGTGGTTACTGAAAATTCTTTGCTCCCCCGCGCTGCAGTCCTGCCCAGCGCTTGCACCTGCAGCGAGCGCCTGCCCGCTTTCCACCACTGCTGGCACTGGAGCTGCCACTTGGACCCACTGATGGTGCCAGCCCCGCTTGTACCCACAGCTGGTGCCAGAGCTGCCGCTCACACCCACTGCCAGCACCTGGCACTGGTCCCACTGCTTGGCACCATCAGCAGGTGCAAGCAGCGGCTGCCAGCCCCCATCACCCCTGAGGGCTTCTCCACCTCCTCCTGCTCCTGATGGCGATCAGGGCAGCAGCTACCACTCGCACCCGCTGATGGCGCTGGCCCTGCTCGCACCCACTGCTGGGACTAACCCCAATTGTTCCACATCAGCGGGTGCAAGCAGGGCTGGCATCATCGGCACATGGGAGTGGCAGCGGTGGGAGCAGGTCTGCTGGTAGATGGGGGCCGGGGGCCACAGTGGTAGGGGCTGGGCAGGGGCACAGAGGATGGGCCGAGACCCACCCTTGTGCCCACTGCAGCCTCATGGCCCACAGTTCCTTTTAAGGTGCACAAATTTGTGTACCAGGACCCTAGTATCCAATAAAAATGTTAAGTGTGAGTGGGCCTAGCACCCTACACTAGTGCCCTCACATTTGTGAAACCTTTTAGTTTCTTAGTCCTCCATCTGCTTACAATTTCTTTGTCATTCAAAATACTTCAAGGGTAAAGTGAATGATTTAAGTACTATATTTTTGCATATAATACATAGATATCTATATATATACTAAAGGACCGGTGCACAAAATTTGTGCATTCGGGGGGGGGGGGGGTCCCTCAGCCCGGCCTGTGCCCTCTCGCAGTCTGGGACCCCTTCAGGAGATAACGAC